AAGTCCCTAAGGGTTTAGGGTTTAGGGTTTAGGGTCTAGGGATTAGGGTTTAGGGCTTAGGGCTTTGCAAGGCATGTTGACGATAATTTCTCATCCCATCTTCATGCGCGATCGGTGCCTCCCCAGATCTTGGTCTGTGTCAGTCCTGGATGATGAAAGACTCGTCTAAGCCCCAAGAATTAGAATAGGGTTTTGGGGGTTCCTTATTATAACTATAGTATAGTATACCCTCAAACCCTATTCTATATTAGGGTTTACCCATAGGCCCCATAGTAGTTTCTTTCTGGGATTACCTTATAGGATTCTAAGTATGAACCCCCAAAAAGGAACTACTATGGGGCCTATGGGTAGGGCCTATGGGTTTATGCGTTCGGGCTTGGGAGTTTCCTGCCACGTTGTACCATGCTACCACACCCCGAGGCCTTTTTGCCAGTTGAGGCTCCGGCAACAATAACATTCCCTGAACCTCCAGCGACGTAAAGAGTAGGGTGCTAACCATATATTACACCTGAAACTCTTTTTGCTTGCAGTTTAGCAGCTATTACCACTTAATTCGTGGGTAGAGCCCATAAAACTGTAGGTAATTAGAGTCCCAGGTATACCCCGGCAACCCTAAACCCTCAACCTAAACCCTAAACCCTAAACCCTAAACCCTAAACCCTAAACCCTCAACCCTCAACCCTAAACCCTCAACCCTAAACCCGAAACTGTAGCCCAAGGGGTTGCTACGACAAAAAAAAGGTCCAGACGAGTAAGGACCTAGAAGACGGGAGCCGCCGGAATCGTCGCTTTGCAAAAAAACAAACACGGTTTAGTGCGTTGAGGGTTGAAGGCTTATAGGGTTTATAGGGTTTCGGGGTTTAGGGTTTTAGGGTTTAGGGTTTAGGGTTTAGGGTTCAGGGTTTAGGGTTTCGGGGTCTAGGGCCCTCCGGACAGAGAAAGCCTCGGCCTAACCACAGAATTTTGAAGCCTTGCTGTGCCCCCAGAGATCCAAGTCTGCAGTGATGAAGGGGCCCTATAGTATAGTATACCCTCAAACCCTACTCTAATTATTAAGGCCCCTTTTTGGGGTTTACCCATCGGCCTAACCAAGGAGTCTCAAGGCCCAAGAAATCCAAGCTGCAGTGATGAAGGGGCCATGCTTCGGAGGGAAACAGGTCGAGATGGCATAGCCCAGGCCGGAAGCGGCGATGGTCACCTTCCAGGGAAGTGATGAACCCAGATGGGTAGTTGTCAAAATTATAGTCCCTTTTGGGGTACCCTAAATAATAGGTGCCGTATTATAATAAGGACCCAAAAAGGGACCCTAATTTTGACAACCACCCAGATCTTCCAAGACTTCCGATTAAGGACTGGAGCTTCAGTTATATATCCGGGATGCTACTATAAAAGATGGCACAAATAAATTAAATAAATAAATAAATATATATATATATATATCTGTCTATACATATATATATATATATATTTTTTTTTTTCTCTCTGTTTACTGGTTGAGAGTGTATTTTCCGGCCGCGAAACCCCCGACATGCACCCCCTAAACCCTGAACCCTAAATCCTAAACCCTACACCCGGTGGTTTGTCTTTTTGGGGCTTTGGGAGGGGTTTGGGTTTGGCGGCGTCTTCCAGCTTGGGGTTGGGTCTTGAGTCTTCGGATTCAGGGTTTAGGGTTCAGGGTTTAGGGTTCAGGGTGTAGGGTTTAGGCTTCAGGGTTCAGGGTTCAGGGTTTAGGGTTCAGGGTGTAGGGTTCAGGGTTCGGGGTGTAGGGTTCAGGGTTCAAGGTTTAGGGTTCATGGTTCCGGTCTTTCTGCAACTTGTCATGCACACCGGACAGCATGGAATGGAAACAGGGCTTGGGGGTCAAGTATACAAAAGGATACATGCCACAAACACTTAACCCGATATTCCAAGCACGAGCCCTCCTAGCGAAGTCCGCACTTTGAACTCCACACCCTAAACCTCTAGACTTCGAAATACTAAGCCCCAAAGCACAGCATCCACACCTAACTCGGAAATCCCTAAACCAAGTCAAGTAGAAACCCTAAAATGGCCCTAAAGCCTAGACCCTAAGACCCCGAAGCCCCAAAAAACCTAAACCCTACACCCTGAACCCTAAAGTTTAGGGTTTAGGGTTTAGTGTTCAGGGTTTAGGGTACCCTGAACCCTAAACCCTGAACCCCTGAACCCTGAAGCCTA